CTTACCATTTAAGTACTGTAGATGGATCACACCACCACCTACCTGATACCTAGACCCTACACTGGCCAGTTAAACATCTAAATGAAAGGACTAATGGTGCACCTCCCTGTGAGTGATGGTCGTATCCCATATCTTCCACTATCGACAAGTAATTCTTGAGGTCCCGCAAATTTCCTATCTCAATTAACCCGGGTTCCTATTACAAATTCAGGCTGAAAATCTTCAATTTGGCCACGAAGACGCCAGATTATTAGCTGAAATTTTCGATGACAATTAGTGCCCACAAATTACAAATGGTGTTTCCTTCCTTCTGGCGTCACTCAGCAGCTGATTTACACTCCCCCCTCCCCTCACTCGAAATTTCTCAGAAGAGTCAAATCACCATCATATTGAACAATTATTGTATTATTCAAATTTACACATCCTGAATTTAGGAAAATTCTAAATTTTTAAAGTGGTGGACTGGTACACCAGTGGAAGGCCTTGGTCAGATGACCAGGTACAGTTAACATCTTTATTATACATACCATACCCATGATGTGAGTGGTAGTCAAAAGATTACAGATGTACATAATGGGTTCAGGGACTGGGCTGCAAAGTTTTTGATAGCTGAACAAGTTGAAGAGTTAATTTGTTGCAGTATTGTTTATACCCACTGTGGAAATTTTTTACCCGATTTCCAAAATGTAGAACATATGAATGAATAATATAATAATTGTGTAATAAAATATGATGCTGTTTGGAGGGTAGAAACATTGTTCGTGTTTCTTTACACCGGTTGTCTATGTTCCCTATCAATAAAATGGGAACCTGGGTGTTGCATCCTGGGAAAAAAAACTGACCTAATTTACCTGAAATGCTCTGCATAACGAGCGGCTTTCTGTATAGTAGTATGCCATTGATGTCAGCTAGGCCTGTATGCAATGTACATGTACTTGTAGAAATAAATTCAATTCAATTCAAAGTTTATTCTCTATAAGGATTACAATGCTGAGTTTACAGAATTTGGTTATTATGTGGTTTACATGTAGTAAAATAATTACAGAGTGTACCACTAGAACACCTAGCATGGCTAGGCATTTCGGGCAGACTTAAATTAAATCTTAAGTTTAAAATATTACAAAATTATGAGGTAAGTTGGTATTGTGGCTAAGTGACTAAATACTAGTTTGTGAGTTTAGCAATGTGAATGCTTTTGTTTTGGCACTATACAGTGTCAGTATTGGAGTATCACAGGCCAACTTATGGCTAGTTAAGATTCATTATTTTGAGATTGAGATTGATATTTCTGTTTATGGTCAAATGGGTGAGTGAGTGTAAGTGTTAACCACCAGGTGGTATTCGTATTATTAGTTGACAGGGTGTATCAGGGAGATAAGATGTTTTCTGATGGTAGTTTTGAAGGTGATGAATGTGTCTGCAGTTTTAGAATTTTCAGGTAGGGTGTTCCAGATTTTAGGGCCTTTGACATACATTGAATTTTTGTGAAGGTTTAGTTGGACACGGGGAATGTCATAGAGATGTTTTTTGTCTGGTGTTGTGCCTGTGGGTTCTGTCACAACTATCAAGAAAGCGTTTTAGGTCAAGGTTAATATTGGAATTTAAGGTCCTGTAGATGTAGATTGCACAGTAGTAAGTGTGGATGTACTGAACAGGGAGTAAGTTTAGATCTATGAAGAGTGGGGGGGGGGAGTTGCCAGGGATGGGATTTAGTGATTATTCTTACTGCGGCTTTTTGTTGGGTTATTATTGGCTTTAGGTGTGTTGCTGCAGTTGAACCCCAAGCACAGATAGCATAGGTGAGGTATGGATAAATAAGTGAATGGTATAGTGTGAGAAGGGCATTTTGCGGCACGTAGTATCGTATCTTGGAGAGGTGTATTATTATTTAAGAAATTTCGAGGGAGGGGAATGGAGAACAGCCAGTAGGGATGCTGGGGAGATGCCATTATTAATTTGTGAACACTGGTTGTCGTGGGAAATTCTGCTAATAATTTGGCATTTTCCGAGGCCTAATTGGAAACTTCATTAATGTCCTCCATTGAAGAATAGGGATAGGAAATTTACGAAACCACCATCGTTGTGAAAATGGAAAAAGAATAATGTGGCATCATCGCACCTTGCCCAGGGATGTACACCATGATACTCAACAGTTAGATACTGACTTCCCAGTTAGATTCTATTTGTTAAGTTGACATTAGGGTGTGTTCCACGTGCAACATATATGGTAAGTGTTAATAGAAAAATTTCTCTCTTTAATAATTGCAGGTATGGTGTTTTAATAATTACAGATACTGTTAATTAGAAATTTTACTGTCTCTGTGTGTGTTAGTGTTCCCATTAATCATTTCTGGAGACGGGTCCTGAAACTGTTATACAGTCCACACAATTTTAATTGTACCAGAGAAGCTAGTTTTAATATAATCATTAATTTAATGTCATATCTAGCTTTTTGTGAGAGTGGTGAAGACGTGGGCAGTCGAAGGAGTTGCAGTTCAGCGACGTACTGTAACCTAAGTCCCACTTACCTCACCCAAATTACCTGCAAGTAATAATTCAGGTAATGCCCTATAAAGCTTCTGCAGGTGATTAATAATAATTCACAAATAACCCGTCTTTTTTTGTTAATAATATTTTTTTCAAAATTAACAATGCAGTATTCATCCCCTATACACTCAGTGCATAGAAAAAATAAACCTTCCTCAGTGAATGAAACGACATTACTTGCATTTGTGGTCACAGTGGTGCCTATGCTAACCTTCCTATGGTGTAGAAATATACCTAGTTGGACGAATCTTATTGTGGCTAGCTGGTCTAGTGGCTAACGCGACGGTTTGGAGTTTTGAGACTCTCTGACCGCGGGTTCAATCCCGCCCGTGGTATGATTGTCTGTTTGAAATGACACTATTTTGTACAGACAGAATGTCAGGTTGGATTAATCTGTCCGGTGTGAATCAGGTGGGGTCACTAACCCACGTTAGACTGCAGATTCGTCTTTATTCCTTAGGTTGGTAAAGGCGATAGCGGAATTCAGAGGGACGAGTAACGCTGAGTTGTAAATTTCACCTTTATGTAGATCAAGAATAAGGTCCTTGTTTGCACACTGGCTCTGCTAGGTTTCACAATAACAGTATACGAAATAAACACTGGTGCAGTAAGTCAGTACCAGTTATCATTCATTCACAAGGTGTGTAAACAGTTAAACACTCCATTATAGTCGACTAAATAATAGAGGAGTACAATAGTTCATACAGTGTCCTCAGCACTGTAGCACCTGTGGCACCTCTTAACTGACATGTTGGCCCTGTGGTACAAAGGGGCACTCAGGCATCTATGTGGACTAGCAAAATTCGCCTCTACACAATAAATTGATAGAGGCGAATGGCTGAGTTAGCAGTCAAGAAAGAGGGGGAGCTGACGAGGGTAGAGGCCTGTGAAAGTAACTTCCAGTGGTAAACTATTTGCAATCTTGCGCTAGGTATACTAGTCACAACTCATACATAAGAATTCTTACAACATTGTAGTTGCGATCCATCGGTATGAGTTTTATGATGATTTATCAGTCGGGTGAAATGGGTAGGCCTGCAAATTAGTAAGCCCAGATCCTTCCGTACTCGCCTGCTTCCCTCAACCATTGAGGCGAGACAGCAGTTTGAAGGGTGTGAGGCGAGCGCGTTCCCAACTGAGCCAAGGGACACCGTAAACGCCTAGGTGATCCATGCTAATCTTCGCTTAAGGAAATCGCAAGAAATCATTTAAAAACTGTCTCCTGACTAACAATCTGGGGATAAAATCTAAACCCATAAGGATCATACTAATCTGATCGGTGGCATAAATGCCCTTTAGAGTTTTTACACTGCCAGTTCGTCGTCAAATGTCGACAGAAAGTGTTGAATGTTGAAGGTACATAGCAGACCAACTCTTTTTGGAATTAAGCGTCTCACTTTGCTCAAGTGTTTTGCTGTTTGAGTCACGCTAACTTTTTAGGAATACTGTTTATCACATAGAGTTGTTCCTGTATACACATAAACTAGGCGATATTTCAAACCCGAACTTCGGGAGTAGAGTTCACTAGGGTTCATAGCATGATGGATCACGTACCAGCAACAACAACGTCAGATGGTCAAAAGCTCCAGACGTAAGTTTATTCAGGTACAGATACACATAAATACATTTACACAAATTAACATACATAGCAGCATATGTATAGATTACCTATGATAATCTAAGAAAAGTCCGTGACACACACATACAGGGGCCAGGAGCTGTGATTCGACCCCTGCAACCACATATAGGTGAACACAAACACTCACAGTATATAAAGAATATTAATACCATCATAAAAAAAATCTGTATTATGATAGACGGTCCGCAGTAATATTATTGCATCTCAGAATCCGTCTAATTAAGAGAATATTCTTAATAAAGATTAATAAAATGTAGTGTTTGGTACAGTGTACATACAGTGGTTGGTACAGTGTACATACAGTGGTTGGTACAGTGCACACACAGTGGTTGGTACAGTGTACATACAGTGGTTGGTACAGTGCACACACAGTGGTTGGTACAGTGCACACACAGTGGTTGGTACAGTGTACATACAGTGGTTGGTACAGTGTACATACAGTGGTTGGTACAGTGCACACACAGTGGTTGGTACAGTGTACATACAGTGGTTGGTACAGTGCACATACAGTGGTTGGTACAGTGTACATACAGTGGTTGGTACAGTGTACATAGTGGTTGGTACAGTGTACATACAGTGGTTGGTACAGTGTACATACAGTGATTGGAACAGTGTACATAGTGGTTGTACAGTGTACATACAGTGGTACAGTGCACACAGTGGTTGGTACAGTGTACATACAGTGGTTGGTACAGTGTAAACTGGTTGGTACAGTGTACATACAGTGGTTGGTACAGTGTAAACTGGTTGGTACAGTGTACATACAGTTATCATGTGGGGTTCGAACACGTGGATAGGGTAAAGAAATACTCACGTAGGCTGGTAGTACGTATATTACGGATAGTGTGGGAAGCGCTAAACAGCCGTGACCTGCCTCCTTGCACTCACTCGTAAGACTGACTAACCACAGTACCCATATGTGAGGGGGTGTTTGAAATACTGCTGTGGTCAGCAGCAATATGAATACAGTCAATGATTCACGCAGAGACGGTTGGTAGTGAGTCATCTACTGGTACACTGGTTACTGGTAACTGGTACTACTACTGAGAGCTCGGCGACGCTAACGTATGTCGTCCCGACATACAACTAATACAAACTAGAGATGGCAGGTGTATGGCTTGGGCTGATTCTATACAATGTCAAAGTACACAACAATTGAACATTATAACATACATAAGTAGAACATTGGAATGGAAGCTTACATAACTGAAACTGTAATGCAATACAAGATATAATATAACACAACTCATCGAATGAAACTCAACGAATGAAACTCAACGAATGAAACTCATCGAATGAAACTCAACGAATGAAACTCATCGAATGAAACTCAACGTTGAGATTACAATAGAAGTGATAAAAAAAATTTTTTGATCGATCGATCTGTATTCATGTGATCTACGGATTCTGAGGAAGGAATATATACAAAGAAAGAAGTGTTTAACAGAAAGGCAGATTCGGTGCACTCAAATCTAGACTGTTAACTCTCAGAATTCGGAGAGAATGTGAACACACTGGTACACTGGTTACTGGTAACTGGTACTACTACTGAGACAGTGGTTGGTACAGTGCACATACAGTGGTTGGTACAGTGCACATACAGTGGTTGGTACAGTGTACATACAGTGGTTGGTACAGTGTACATACAGTGGTTGGTACAGTGTACATACAGTGGTTGGTACAGTGTACATACAGTGGTTGGTACAGTGGTTGGTACAGTGCACATAGTGGTTGGTACAGTGTACATACAGTGTACATACAGTGGTTGGTACAGTGCACATAGTGGTTGGTACAGTGTACATACAGTGTACATACAGTGGTTGGTACAGTGTACATACAGTGTACATACAGTGGTTGGTACAGTGTACATACAGTGTACATACAGTGGTTGGTACAGTGTACATACAGTGGTTGGTACAGTGTACATACAGTGGTTGGTACAGTACACACACAGTGGTTGGTACAGTGTACATACAGTGGTTGGTACAGTGTACATACAGTGGTTGGTACAGTGTACATACAGTGGTTGGTACAGTGTACATACAGTGGTTGGTACAGTGTACATACAGTGGTTGGTACAGTGTACATACAGTGGTTGGTACAGTGTACATACAGTGGTTGGTACAGTGCACATAGTGGTTGGTACAGTGTACATACAGTGGTTGGTACAGTGTACATACAGTGGTTGGTACAGTGTACATACAGTACCTAACAATAAGCAGGTACCTGATTGTTAGTTGACTGGTGTGGGTCGCATCCTGGGAGACAAGATTAATGGACCACAATGGAAATAAGACAGACAGTCCTCGATGACGCACTGACTTTCTTGGGTTATACTGTGTGGCTAACCCTCCAGGGTTAGAAATCCGAACAAAATCATATCTTAAAGCATGTTTAAGTTTAATAAGAGAATCGGAGAAAATATCTAAGACGAACATGATCTTCAGAATACAATAATAACTTAAAAAAATGATTCAAAGATTATATCAGATAAGACATTGAGAGAAATACATTGTTAAACACTAACATGAATCTGGTAACATTATAGAAACAATTGATGGGTCTTACCAAAAAAATTCCAATGTCAATACCATCAAAAATAGGTGATACCCACCTATTATTGTAAGCTGATCCTCTCTGTCTAATGTTCCTGTAAATAACTCGGTTTAAATTATTCCTATTGCACCTCCATTTACTGTAAATGATTTTCAGAGAGTTGAGTGGTGATTTTTAAGGTTATAATCATGACTGATTTCTAGCGTATCTTACAGCTAGGCTTTAAATAAGATATAACAAGGACCTCATGTGTTACCCTAGGTAATTTGCACATATGTTGCTATCATTATTCCTCAGTCCACGGCAGGATTCGAACCTGCACAAACTTCATCAAAGTACACAGTACTTTATCCACACAACCAGACTCCAGATAACTATGGGAGCCTAGCCGGTACTAGACGGCCACTCCTCAACCCCCGGAGCACCAGGCTTGTGCAAAGTTATTTCATCAAATGCTTTTCAATTCGCAAACAGGCGAAATTATTCACACACATTTCTCAGTCCACAGCAGGATTCGAACCTGCATACACTACATCGTCTGTAGTTGTCTCTCATGAGTGTGATATATCTTACTCCTCTAGCCAGCACTTGATTTTCCTCATAATCCAGTCATTGCTTAAGTAAAATACAAATCCTTTAAAAGTCAGCGAATCCATTAAAAAAATTGACATGTATTTGCTCAACAAAGTCTACGATTTCAGTTACTGGCATGTGGGGGTCCACGAAATTTTTGAAATTCAAACAAGTTCTGACTCTGGTAAAGATAACCATTGTTGGACCGTGTCAGTACTTGTATTTCCCGAGCCACGTACAGAAGTATCGTCCTTGTAAGTGAGCACAACATAGTGTAAAAACACTTAAATACTGAAGAATTAAAGGTCACAATACCTTGACTGGAACAATACACAAATAACCCGCACATAGGAGACTGAAACTTAGGACGACGTTTCGGTCCAACTTGGACCATTAACTAGTCACACTTATTCAGATTTTTAACCCCGGAGTGTTAGCCACCCAGGACTGTGTCTTATTTCCTCTGTGGTCCTCACATCTTGTCCCCCAGGATGCCACCCACACCAGTCTACTAACACCCAGGTACCTATATATATATGCTTGCTAGGTGAACGGGGCACAACAGGTGTAAAGAAACCCGCCCAGTGTTTCCACCCTTGCCGGGGATCGAACCATGGCCACTCAGTGTGTGAAGCGAGTGTGTTGCCGACCAGACCACCGAAGTTTGGTGCCGAAGGTAGAGGTAAGGTGAAGTTGACAGTCTGTGGTGGACGTGGTTGTCAGGACTTCACAGCTACTGTAAAGTTAGTTGACAGGTCGCCTGGTCCTAAGAGCCACTCTGAAGCCTCCTGGTGGATCCTCAGAGCCACTCTGAAGCCTCCTGGTGGATCCTCAGAGCCACTCTGAAGCCTCCTGGTGGATCCTCAGAGCCACTCTGAAGCCTCCTGGTGGATCCTCAGAGCCACGGTGAAGCCTCCTCTTGTGTCACCAAGCCCCTTTCCACCAGCTTCCTCACCAGGTCCTTGGTTGCCTCCGTCTCAGCATTGTGAGGGTTCACGTAACCTTCAGCTGGGAAACACAGACGGAATTACCAAACAGAACGCAACATCCGTTAATAAAAGTAATTTACAAAAAAAATTGTTTTGACTTCAATTAAAAAATCCTTCTATATATAAAATCTATTAGACATATGCGTATAAAAAAGACACTGGCCACCAGCATAAAAAAAATAAAATGGACCATTTTATAATAAAAATTACATAAATGCCCCCCCCCGAAAAAAATTATTTACAGGATATAAAAATTATTAATATTTGTGCATGTAACTAGTTCCGGAAAAAAAAAATTGGAAGCAGACACCACTCTCACGAGCCCTTCCATGGCGGGGAAGGTGCCGGAGCTGGAGCTTGCTACCACCTACAGCTCACAAGACTGCCATTCCCACGAGCTCCCCTGTGGCGGGGAAGATGGCAGACCAGAGGCTTCTCCCTACAAGCCCTGTGAGGGTGGGGAATGGTGCTTGGGCTGGGGACAGTTGGTCCCAGAGGATGAGGAGGTACTTGTGCCTCCTCCCATGGGAGACGTAGGTGTGGAAAATACTGTATATATTTTCCAGAAATTCAGTATTTATATGTAAATAGATGGCCATACTGTATTTAATAATATTTGTTATAGAAAACGGAAAGCCTGCGTCTGCGCAGACGGGACTCGCCATCTTGGTTTTGAATTGGATACAACGTTAATATAATGGGAAGAATTTTTCGTGCTCTAGAGGTTAAAATTGGATTGACACCTCTCAAATAGGAGGCGAAATTGTTGGATGTGCATTCCTGCATAACTTGAGATATCAGACGACTGGACAAGACAGCTCCAGGAACCTCAGATAAGCTCTCTAGATTTGTGTATAATTCTGGCCAGCAGTGTTTTCATTAATTTAGTTAGTGAGGTTTTTCTGAGTATGATACAACTTAATATCCAGTCAAATTGGTGAGTGATAATAAGATATATTTTCCTTCTGTTATGTATTTGTGAATTTATATATAATAATTTTTTAATATACAGTCCACAAATTTATATATTTACCAGTATTCCTGGTGTATGTATATTTCATTTAATTAATAGGTCCAGAGCAACTTGTGGTTATGACAGTGGTAGGTATCGAAGGGGGACATTTTTTGCGACCTAAGTGTCCCAAATTCCTACTTGTCTATGTAACATTGATAAATAATAATTATCTTTGTTATCATTTACTGTTATGTACATAATTAGTTACATTCAGATAAATGCAGTTTTCCACAGTAGGTCTCACGACACTCCCTAGACAGGGAGCCAAGGCCGGGACACCATCTGGAAGACTCGGGCCGGGAGAGTACCGGCGGATCGAGAAGTAGTAGTTCCAAAATTATTGTATATAAAATGATTATAATCCTAACCATGTTTTTTTTAAAAAGGTGGACTGGTTAGCCAGCGGAAGTCCTCGGTCATGTGACCAAAAACTCCAGCTGTGGGTCATTATATGACTAAAGCCTCTAAAACACATGCCGAATCAAGGCAGGGGTTTTAGGGGCTGCATCCCAGGGACCTCCAGGGGCTGCATCCCAGGGGCCTACGCCAGCTGGAGAGGCTGCAGCCAAGGGTCCTCACAGTACCTGTAGCCCAGGGTCCTCACAGTACCTGTAGCCCAGGGGCCTCACAGTACCTGTAGCCCAGGGGCCTCACAGTACCTGTAGCCCAGGGGCCTCACAGTACCTGTAGCCCAGGGGCCTCACAGTACCTGCAGCCCAGGGTACTCACAGTACCTGTAGCCCAGGGGCCTCACAGTACCTGTAGCCCAGGGGCCTCACAGTACCTGCAGCCCAGGGACCTCACAGTACCTGTAGCCCAGGGTCCTCACAGTACCTGTAGCCCAGGGGCCTCACAGTACCTGTAGCCCAGGGGCCTCACAGTACCTGTAGCCCAGGGACCTCACAGTACCTGTAGCCCAGGGGCCTCACAGTACCTGCAGCCCAGGGTACTCACAGTACCTGTAGCCCAGGGGCCTCACAGTACCTGTAGCCCAGGGGCCTCACAGTACCTGTAGCCCAGGGGCCTCACAGTACCTGTAGCCCAGGGACCTCACAGTACCTGTAGCCCAGGGACCTCACAGTACCTGTAGCCCAGGGGCCTCACAGTACCTGCAGCCCAGGGTACTCACAGTACCTGTAGCCCAGGAGCCTATAAAATCTTAATCCGGCTCTGCATGTAACTAAGACCCACGTCAGGAAACAGTTTCCTGACAAACCTTATACCTGCCTGAAGTCGTAAACTTCCCTTGTGGATTACGTCTCGGTGTGGCTTCGTTGAAGCTAAAATATATTCTCTCTTACTCGAGATATGAAACAAAAAAAAAACTAGGAGCACCGCAGTAATCCTGCCGGCCCATGTTAGGCAGGTCTAACTCACAACCAGGTAATACACTTACCTGAGGTCAGGGGCTCTTGTACCTGTACAACTCGTGTAGATTTAGTGTTTGTTTTCAAATGTAATAATTAATATTGAATAATAACATTAAAAATAATAATTCCTCTTTTGCACCAGAGTACATAGGAAATTTGGGTTGGATTCTTTATTTTGTTAACTTGAATAATAATATAATCTCTATTACTACAAGTACATGTACAAGGTATACAGTCCTAGCTGACATCAGTGACATACTAGTAAATAGAAAGCCGCTTGTTAATTATGCTGAACATTTAGAGCAAATTAGGTCAGTTTTGTCCCAGGATGCGACCCACACCAGTCCACTTACACCCAGGTATCTATTTTATTGATGGGTGAACATGGACAGCAGGTGTCTTAAGGAAATACGTCCTAATGCTTCCAGCCGTACCGTGGATCGACCCCCCGGACCTCAGTGTATGAGCTGAGTGTGTTACCAATCGAGCTATGGGACACACTTGCTTCAATTAATTTGGATAAACGGTATCACATTTCTGAAGAAGAAAGATAAAATTGTCAAGGAGGAGAATAAGTAACTAAACAATTTGTTTGGATAAAGTGGGAGGATGTGTAATAACGAGCATGAAGCGGAGGACGTCACAAACATGAAGCGGAGGACGTCACAAACATGAAGCGGAGGACGTCACAAACATGAAGCGGAGGACGTCACAAACATGAAGCGGAGGACGTCACAAACATGAAGCGGAGGACGTCACAAACATGAAGCGGAGGACGTCACAAACATGAAGCGGAGGACGTCACAAACACCCACCTTTCCCGAGGGCAGTGGTCCAGTCAGGGCACCTGCTGGTGGCGCGGAAGTTCAGCTCCCACTTGTAGAAGTAGGGTGTCCTGCTGATGGTGCAGTAGTGGCCCAGGAGCTCTATCTCATCCTCTCTGTACAGCCGACTGAGGCAAGATCATAGGTAGAAAACAAAGCACCGAGAACAACAAATTGTAGCATTATTATTATTATTATTATTATTATTATTATTATTAGTAGTAGTAGTAGTAGTAGTAGTAGTAGCAGTACAGATACAAATATATATTTTTATATCTTTGCAAAGGTTATAGTGTGTGATTTACATGTTATAAAAATATTGTGAAGTACAAAGGAACTAACATGTCTGAGCATTTCTGACATATTCAATATTTAACTTATAGAAGTCTTACAACACTTGAGAAATTGGATTAGGTTTGATCGTAGGAAGGAGAATTATATATCCATTTGTTGCCTAGATAGCATTTTTGCGTTGTCATGATTGCCGGTTAATTGTACGTGAATATAGGTTAATTTACGTTAACCTAACTGAGATTAATCTAAAATCCCGTATATAAATTTTCTGTTGAGGCAGTATAATACTGCTCATGGAGGCTAGTACACCAAACAGGGAGTAGAATGAAATTAGCTCTGAGGCACCCACACCATCGTATGTCCTCGTATTATGGTACAACACCTAGCTCTGCTGGGTGCGTGATTCTTGTAGGATTGTATGGTTCCGTGGATTAGAGCATCGTGGATTTTCACTCACCATGAGGCATACTAAAACATACACGGGTTCGATCCCCCAGCTAGTCGCAGTGTTGTTACTGATTAAATAACACTCGTTCGTGGTTACATTATATTATATATATATATATATATATATATATATATATATATATATATATATATATATATATATATATATATATATATATATATGTGTGTGTGTGTGTGTGTGTACTCACCTAATTGTGGTTGCAGGGGTCGAGACTCAGCTCCTGGCTCCACCTCTTCACTGATCGTTACTAGGTCCTCTCCCTCTCTGCTTCCTGAGCTTTGCCATACCTCTTCTTAAACTATGTATGGTTCCTGCCTCCACTACTTCACTTGCTAGGCTATTCCACTTCCTGACGACTCTATGACTGAAGAAATACTTCCTAACGTCCCTGTGACTCGTCTGAGTCTTCAGCTTCCAGTTGTGACCCCTTGTTTCTGTGTCCCCTCTCTGGAACATCCTATCTCTGTCCACATTGTCTATTCCCCGCAGTATCTTGTATGTCGTTATCATGTCTCTCCTGACCCTTCTGTCCTCCAGTGTGTGTGTGTGTGTGTGTGTGTGTGTGTGTGTGTGTGTGTGTGTGTGTGTGTGTGTGTGTTTAAAATATACTGTGTCAAAAATAAGAGGAAACAAATGCTTACGTGATCACATTGTCTGCAAGTGAAGACACAATCTGCAAGAAGTCGAAGGATTTGGCTGGTGCTGGTGAGGGAGCCACTAGCAGCACCACCAGCAGTGACAACACCAGCCCTCCTGACCACCTTCCTGACACCACTGAGGCTGACATCTTCACACTGTAACATTATAAAACTAGATGCATTGCTGTGCGATCAGAAAGTGTTACATATTTTCCTGCATTAAAAATTTATAAGTGAGACACACCAGCAGCCAAGGTTTGAAACCTATCAAAAGAGACATTCTCCTCTTAGTGCACAATAACTCTCTGTTGAATATTGGCAAATTAAACTTACCTAACCCAAAATCAATGTGAAGCTTCATATGGAAAAAAATTATACGAAAAGTTTGAAGCCGACCAGAAGAGGCATTTTAGACTTCACGCGGTACAGTTCAACAATTCCAGATTTAATAACCATGTTAGAAAAATGGCAAATTTGAACCTAAACAGCTGTATGTACTTGTAATGTATCGCTCAAACCTCGTGTATACTCCATCTCTGAAGAGATGGAGTACTCCAGTGATGTGGCAGGGCAAAAACCACTGGTACTCCAGTGATGTGGCAGGGCAAAAACCACTGGTACTCCAGTGATGTGGCAGGGCAAAAACCACTGGTACTCCAGTGATGTGATAGGGCAAAAACCACTGGTACTCCAGTGATGTGGCAGGGCAAAAACCACTGGTACTCCAGTGATGTGGCAGGGCAAAAACCACTGGTACTCCAGTGATGTGGCAGGCCAAAAACCACTGGTACTCCAGTGATGTGGCAGGGCAAAAACCACTGGTACTCCAGTGATGTGGCAGGGCAAAAACCACTGGTACTCCAGTGATGTGATAGGGCAAAAACCACTGGTACTCCAGTGATGTGGCAGGGCAAAAACCACTGGTACTCCAGTGATGTGGCAGGGCAAAAACAACTGGTACTCCAGTGATGTGGCAGGGCAAAAACCACTGGTACTCCAGTGATGTGGCAGGGCAAAAACCACTGATACCCCAGTGGTTACTACACTGGTACTCTTGCAGTTACTACACTGGTACCCCTGCAGTTACTACACTGGTACCCCTGCAGTTACTACACTGGTACGCCTGCAGTTACCACCCTGGTACCCTTGCAGTTACTACACTGGTCCCACAGCAGTTACTACACTGGTACCCCTGCAGTTACTACACTGGTACCCCTGCAGTTACCACCCTGGTGCCCTTGCAGTTACTACACTGGTCCCACAGCAGTTACTACACTGGTACCCTTGCAGTTACTACATTGGTAACACAGCAGTTACTACACTGGTACCCAGCACTGGTCCCAGCATTTACTACACTGGTACCCCAGCAGTTACCACACTGGTACCCAGCACTGGTCCCAGCAGTTACTACACTGGTACCCAGCACTGGTCCCAGCAGTTACTACACTGGTACCCAGCACTGGTCCCAGCAGTTACTACACTGGTACCCAGCACTGGTCCCAGCAGTTACTACACTGGTATCCAGCACTGGTAACCCAGCAGTTACTGCACTGGTACCCCAGCAGTTACTACACTGGTATTCAGCACTGGTCCCAGCAGTTACTACACTGGTATCCAGCACTGGTCCCAGCAGTTACTACACTGGTATCCAGCACTGGTCCCAGCAGTTACTATACTGGTATCCAGCACTGGTCCCAGCAGTTACTACACTGGTACCCCAGCAGTTACTACACTGGTATCCAGCACTGGTCCCAGCAGTTACTACACTGGTATCCAGCACTGGTCCCAGCAGTTACTACACTGGTACCCAGCACTGGTCCCAGCAGTTACTATACTGGTATCCAGCACTGGTCCTAACATTTACTACACTGGTATCCAGCACTGGTCCCAGCAGTTACTATACTGGTATCCAGCACTGGTCCTAACATTTACTACACTTGTACCCCAGCAGTTACTACACTGGTCCCCAGCACTGGTCCCAGCAGTTACTTCACTGGTACCCAGCATTGGTCCCAGCAGTTACTACACTGGTACCCAGCACTGGTCCCAACAGTTACTACACTGGTACCCAGCACTGGTCCCAGCATTTAATACACTGGCTTCATCAGTCCAATACAAAGAGGAAGGCGTAAGGAGAGGAGGAGAATGAGGTAATCAGTCCCTCAACCTGGAGTCGATGTGTTCAGTCCATCAATCTTGTAGAATGTACAGCATAGGGCCGTAGACGTGGCTTATATACTGTAGTGAGGTTTTTCAAACCATTCATCACAACTGTCAGACACTGCAGCATCATGGGATCTTGTTACAAAGAATTCTTCAACACTTGTTCAATCTTTGGACGAAGACCTACTTCGACTAGTGGATGATACCACTATGACCCCGCCTCCACCTGCTTCACGTCACCTCACTACAGTATATAAGCCACGTCTACGGCCCTATGCTGTACATTCTACAAGATTGATGGACTGAACACAGTTAATACACTGGTACCCAGCACTGGTTCCAACAGTTACTACACTGGTATCCAGCACTGCTCCCAGCAGTTACTACACTGGTACCCAGCACTGGTCCCAACAGTTACTACACTGGTACCCAGCACTGGTCCCATCAGTTACTACACTGGTATCCAGCACTGGTCCCAGCAGTTACTACACTGGTACCCAGCACTGGTCCCAGCAGTTACTACACTGGTACCCAGCACTGGTCCCAACAGTTACTACACTGGTACCCAGCACTGGTCCCAACAGTTACTACACTGGTACCCAGCACTGGTCCCAACAGTTACTACACTGGTACCCAGCACTGGTCCTAACATTCACTACACTGGTACCCAGCACTGGTCCCAACAGTTACTACACTGGTCCCAACAGTTACTACACTGGTACCCAGCACTGGTCCTAACATTCACTACACTGGTACCCCAGCAGTTACTACACTGGTACCCAGCACTGGTCCCAGCAGTTACTACATTGGTACCCCAGCAGTTACTACACTGGTACCCAGCACTGGTCCCAGCAGTTACTACACTGGTACCCAGCACTGGTCCCAGCAGTTACTACACTGGTACCCATCACTGGTCCCAACAGTTACTACACTGGTACCCAGCACTGGTCCCAGCAGTTACTACACTAGTACCCAGCACTGGTCCTAACATTTACTACACTGGTAACCCAGCAGATACTACACTGGTATCCAGCTCTGGTCCCAGCAGTTACTACACTGGTACCCAGCACTGGTCCCAACAGTTACTACACTGGTACCCAGCACTGGTCCCAGCAGTTAATACACTGGTACCCAGCACTGGTTCCAACAGTTACTACACTGGTACCCAGCACTGCTCCCAGCAGTTACTACACTGGTACCCAGCACTGGTCCCAGCAGTTACTACACTGGTACCTAGCACTGGTCCCAGCAGTTACTATACTGGTACCCAGCACTGATCCTAACATTTACTACACTGGTACCCCAGCAGCTACTACACTGTTATCCAGCACTGGTCCCAGCAGTTACTACACTGGTATCCAGCACTGGTCCCTGCAGTTACTACACTGGTATCCAGCACTGGTCCCAGCAGTTACTACACTGGTATCCAGCACTGGTCCCAGCAGTTACTACACTGGTATCCAGCACTGGTCCCAGCAGTTACTACACTGGTATCCAGCACTGGTCCCAGCAGTTACTACACTGGTATCCAGCACTGGTCCCTGCAGTTACTACACTGGTATCCAGCACTGGTCCTAACATTCACTACACTGGTACCCAGCACTGGTCCCAGCAGTTACTACACTGGTACCCAGCACTGGTCCCAGCAGTTACTACACTGGTACACAGCACTGGTCCCAGCAGTTACTACACTGGTACCCAGCACTGGTCCCAGCAGTTACTACACTGGTACCCAGCACTGGTCCCAGCAGTTTACTACACTGGTACACAGCACTGGTCCCAGCAGTTACTACACTGGTACCCAGCACTGGTCCCAGCAGTTACTACACTGGTACCCAGCACTGGTCCCAGCAGTTACTACACTGGTACACAGCACTGGTCCCAGCAGTTACTACACTGGTACCCAGCACTGGTCCCAGCAGTTACTACACTGGTACCCAGCACTGGTCCCAGCAGTTACTACACTGGTACCCAGCACTGGTTCCAGCAGTTACTACACTGGTACCCAGCACTGGTCCCAGCAGTTACTACACTGGTACCCAGCACTGGTCCTAACATTTACTACACTGGTACCCAGCACTGGTCCTAACATTTACTACACTGGTACCCCAGCAGTTTCTACACTGGTACCCAGCACTGGTCCCAGCAGTTACTACACTGGTACCCAGCACTGGTCCCAGCAGTTACTATACTGGTACCCAACACTGGTCCTAACATTTACTACATCTGGTACCCCAGCAGTTACTACACTGGTACCCAGCACTGGTCCCAACAGTTACTACACTGGTACCCAGCACTGGTCCCAGCAGTTACTATACTGGTACCCAACACTGGTCCTAACATTTACTACATCTGGTACCCCATCAGTTACTACACTGGTATCCAGCACTGGTCCCAGCAGTTACTACACTGGTACCCAGCACTGGTCCCAGCAGTTACTACACTGGTACCCAGCACTGGTCCTAACATTCACTACATTGGTACCCCAGCAGTTACTACACTGGTGCCCCAGCAGTTACTACACTGGTGCCCCAGCAGTTACTACATTGGTACCCCAGCAGTTACTACATTGGTACCCCAGCCGTTACTACACTGGTGTCCAGTGATATTTTTTTCGCAACATCAACAAGAAAATAATATAAATCTATACTAATATTTTAATTTGTGTATATTATGTTAAACATCAGAAATAAACACTCAGCCTTGACCAGTAAAGTTCACTATTAAGTCGTGATTGTGTAATTATAACCATAATTTTTAAAGGGGGTGGACGGATTATCCAGTAGAAGGCCTCGGTCAGATGACCAAAAGCTCCAGCTGCGGGTCAGCATATGACTAAAACCCGCGTCGGGAAACGACCTGTGGCAAGTGTCAGGATGATAATAGCGCCTGGAAAGCTACGCACCTGTTAGTGAAGCTGTGTACTGTTCTGCTGACGAGCGATGGGGCAGCACTGGTGGTTGTGGCGTCTCACTCAGGTTATATTACCTGGTTCGTCAGATGTTCTAGGAAAATTTTTACATCCCTTAACTCTGCTTTGTCAGTGTTGATAAAACATGGACTACGGTTCACGCATGGTCGAGAATCCTAGTGGATATCTCTGGGACTCTCGACTTTTAATGCTGGAATATCATCTGTACCTAAACGTTTTGATCTCTCATATACGAGAGCTGAGACACATGACAGTGCTAAGCTACAAGTGTAGCTAAAGTTGAAAACAGTATGCTCCTCAGGGGATGCACACATGCATGCACAGGCACGTATATGTGCATCCCGGAGCGTGATAGCACATCTGGCACTCATTAAACTAATATTACCATGTAATAAAGTTGGTAGAATTACCGACAATATGTAAAGTAAAAGGACACAAGTGCAACTAATGTGACATTTATTGTGGCAACGTATCTTTATTGATACCCAAGAGTTGCACATGTGTCTAATTTATCAACATGTCGGTTCTCTGAACCATTCATCTACAAAGCTTTGGGTAGGGGTCGTTTTGGTAAGGACCTGCCTTGTATGGGCCAGTAGGCCTTCTGTAGTGTTTCTCCATTCTTATGGTAGGGATCTTGTTACAAAGAATTCTTCAACACTTGTTCAACCTTTGGACGAAGACCTACTTCGACTAGTGGATGGTACCACTATGACCCCGCCTCCGCCTGCTTCACCTCACCTCACTACAGTATATAAGCCACGTCTACGGCCCTATGCTGTACATTCTACAAGATTGATGGACTGAACACATCGACTCCAGACTGAGGGACTGATTACCTCATACTCCTCCTCTCCTTACGCCTTCCTCTTTGTTGTGCAAGAAAGGTATAAAATACCGACAAATATGAAAGTTAAGACATGTGCAACATCTGGATATCTTTATTGTAGACGTTTCGCCATCCAGTGGCTTTATCAATACAGATTCTAGGACATAATAGGAAGACAGTAGAACTATATACAAAAGATGAGGTAATCAGTCCCTACATTACTACATTATCGCACAAGGTGCGATAATGTAGTAATTCTAGGAGACTTTAACTTTAGTCATATTGATTGGAATTTCTTGACTGGGAATTTAGAATCATACGACTTCTTAGAATAGTTCAGGATTGTTTTTTTAAGCAGTTTGTGACAGAACCTACAAGGGGTAATAATCTGCTTGACTTAGTTCTGGTAAACAATGAATCCCTTGTTAATAATTTAGAAGTTTCAGAGGAACTGGGTGCTAGCGACCATAAATCAATTACATTTAGCATTGAATTTAAGTATGATAGTAGGGGTAACTCAGAAAAAGTCCCAGATTTTCGCTTAGCAGATTACGATGGGCTTAGAGAACACTTATCATCTGTTGGCTGGAGTAACGAATTATTATTATTATAATCAAAAAGAAGCGCTAAGCCACAAGGGCTATACAGCGCTGCAGGGTAGGGAAGGAAGCAAGGGAATTGGATGGCAGGAGGGAGGGGGGATAATCAGCAGGTTACAGAAAACAGCGGGGTGGGCAGGGGGAATACGGGGGGAAGGGGACAAGAGATACAATAGAAAGGGGTGAAAAAATCAGAATTGTGAGTAAATCGTCGTTGCAAAAAACAATAAGAAGTCCGGATGAAAAGGGGGGTCCACAGCGGAAGGGAAGGTAAAGAGAAGCAGCGGCAAACGACGACAAGGTAAAGGGTATCACATTTCTGAAAAGAAAAAAAATTGTCAAGGAGGGAGAATAAGTAACTAAACAATTTGTTTGGATAAAGTGGGAGGATGTGTAATAACGAGCATGAAGCGGAGGACGTCACAAACATGAAGCGGAGGACGTCACAAACATGAAGCGGAGGACGTCACAAACATGAAGCGGAGGACGTCACAAACATGAAGCGAGACTCACAAACATGAAGCGGAGGACGTCACAAACATGAAGCGGAGGACGTCACAAACATAAGCGGGGACGTCAAAAAACACCCACCTTTCCCGGGGGCAGTGGTCCATCAGGGCACCTGCTGGTGGCGCGAAGTTCAGCTCCCACTTTAGAAGTAGGGTGCCCTGCTGATGGTGCAGTAGTGGCCCAGGAGCTCTATCTCATCCTCTCTGTACAGCCGACTGAGGCAAGATCATAGGTAGAAAACAAAGCACCGAGAACAACAAATTGTAGCATTATTATTATTATTATTATTATTATTATTATTATTTTTAGTAGTAGTAGTAGTAGTAGTAGTGTAGTAGTAGTAGCAGTACAGATACAAAATATATTTTTTATCTTTGCAAAGGTTATAGTGTGTGTTTACTGTTTAAAAATATTGTGAAGTACAAAGGAACTAACATGTCTGACATTTCTGACATATTCAATATTTAACTTATAGAAGTCTTACAACACTTGAGAAATTGGATAGGTTTGATCGTAGGAAGGAGAATTATATATCCATTTGTTGCCTAGATAGCATTTTTGCGTTGCATGATTGCCGGTTAATTGTACGTGAATATAGGTTAATTACGTTAACCTAACTGAAAATAATCTAAAATCCCGTATATAAATTTTCTGTTGAGGCAGTATAAACTGCTCATGGAGGCAGTACACCAAACAGGGAGTAGAATGAAATTAGCTCTGAGGCACCCACACCATCGTATGTCCTCGTATATGGTAAAAACACCTAGCTCTGCGGGGTGCGTGATTCTTGTGGGTTTGTAGGGTTCCGTGGATGAGCATCGGGGATTTCACTCACCATGAGGCATACTAAAACATACACGGGTTCGTTTCCCCCAGCTAGTCGCAGTGTTGTTACTGATTAAATAACACTCGTTCGTGGTTACATATATAATATATATATATATATATATATATATATATATATATAGTGTTTGTGGTGTGTGTTGTGTGTGTGTACTCACCTAATTGTGGTTTGCAGGGGGTCGAGACTCAGCTCCTGGCCCGCCTCTTCACTGATCGTTACTAGGTCCTCTCCCTCTCTGCTTCTGAGCTTTGCCATACCTCTTCTTAAACTATGTATGGTTCCTGCCTCCACTACTTCACTTGCTAGGCTATTCCACTTCCTGACGACCTATGACTGAAGAAATATTTCCAAACCCGTCCCTGTGACTCGTCTGAGTCTTCACTTCCAGTTGTGACCCCTTTTTTTCTGTGTCCCCTCTCTGGAACATCCTATCTCTGTCCACATTGTCTATTCCCCGCAGTATCTTGTATTCGTTATCATGTCCCCCTGACCCTTCTGTCCTCCAGTGTGTGTGTGTGTGTGTGTGTTTAAAATATACTGTGTCAAAAATAAGAGGAAACAAATGCTTACGTGATCACATTGTCTGCAAGTGAAGACACAATCGCAAGAAGTCGAAGATTTGGCTGGTGCTGGTGAGGGAGCCACTAGCAGCACCACCAGCAGTGACAACACCACCCCCTGACCACCTTCCTGACACCACTGAGGCGCCCTCTTCACACTGTAACATATAAAACTAATCATTGCTGTGCGATCAGAAAGTTTTAACATATTTTCCTGAAATTAAAAATTTATAAGTGAGACACACCACAGCCAAGGTTTGAAACCTATCAAAAGAGACATTCTCCTCTTAGTGCACAATAACTCTTTGTTGAATATTGGCAAATTAAACTTACCTAACCAAAAATCAATGTGAAGCTTCATAGGGAAAAAAAATATACGAAAAGTTTGAAGCCGCCAGAAGAGGCATTTTAGACTTCACGGGGTACAGTTCAACAGTTCCAGATTTAATAACCATGTTAGAAAAAATGGCAAATTTGAACCTAAACAGCTGTATGTACTTGTAATGTATCGCTCAAACCTCATGTATACTCCATCTCTGAAGAGATGGAGTACCCAGTGATGTGGCAGGGCAAAAACCACGGTACTCCAGGGGGAGGGTGGCAGGGCAAAAACACGGGTTACTCCAGTGATGTGGCAGGGCAAAAACCACTGGTACTCCAGTGATGTGGCAGGGCAAAAACCACGGGTTACTCCAGTGATGGGGCGGGGCAAAAACCACTGGTACTCCAGTGATGTGGCAGGGCAAAAACCACTGGTACTCAGTGATGTGGCAGGCAAAAACCCTGGTACTCCAGTGATGTGGCAGGGCAAAAACCACTGGTACTCCAGTGATGTGGCAGGGCAAAAACCACTGGTACTCCAGTGATGTGGCAGGGCAAAAACCACTGATCCCCCAGGGGTTTACTACACTGGTTACCCTTGCAGTTAATACACTGGTACCCTTGCAGTTACTACACTGGTACCCTTGCAGTTACTACACTGGTACCCCTGCAGTTACTACACTGGTACCCCGGGCAGTTACACACTGTACCCCCTGCAGTTACCACCCTGGTACCCTTGCAGTTACTACACTGGTCCCACAGCAGTTACTACACTGGTCCCACAGCAGTTGCTACACTGATCCCATAGCAGTTACTACACTGGTCCCACAGCAGTTACTACACTGGTACCCTTGCAGTTACTACACTGGTACCACAGCAGTTACTATATTGGTAACACAGCAGTTACTACACTGGTACCCAGCACTGGTCCCAGCATTTACTACACTGGTACCAGTGATGTGGCAGGGCAAACACCACTGGTACTCCAGTGATGTGGCTGGGCAAAAACCACTGATACCCCAGTGGTTACTACACTGGTACCCTTTCAGTTACTACACTGGTACCCTTGCAGTTAATACACTGGTACCCTTGCAGTTAATACACTGGTACCCTTGCAGTTAATACACTGGTACCCTTGCAGTTACTACACTGGCACCCTTGCAGTTACTACACTGGTACCCCTGCAGTTACTACACAGGTACCCCTGCAGTTACCACCCTGGTACCCTTGCAGTTACTACACTGGTCCCACAGCAGTTACTACACTGGTCCCACAGCAGTGACTACACTGGTCCCACAGCAGTTACTACACTGGTCCCACAGCAGTTACTACACTGGTCCCATAGCAGTTACTACACTGGTCCCACAGCAGTTACTACACTGGTACCCTTGCAGTTACTACATTGGTAACACAGCAGTTACTACACTGGTACCCAGCACTGGTCC